CACATAAATATGTACACATAAACAAATATATGTTCTAATATACTAATATATTATATATTGCTTAAAATTATTAATATTATAATATTAATATATACATCTCTATATACTCATATCATACATGCAATGGTTGAGTGGTTGTGGGCCCTTCATGTAAAAGGTACCCCACAAGCCAGCTTAAAGGATCTCCCACTGATCAAATATGGAGAAATTTGAGCATCAAAATAAATAATGATAGTAATAAATTATATATCATTGAATAAATTAAGAATATGTGAGTCAATATTGATATCAATAAAAATTAATAAATAAATATTTAGGGGAGAAGAAAAAGCTCTTATTTACAATATAATACCAAATTAATAAATATAGAAAGATCAATGGCATTATAAAATCATCAATGGATGCTAAAATTAGTGGGTAAAAATTTGAAGAGATACAGAATGTTTACATATCCTAAAAGTATTTCCTCACAAATATTTATTAATTACAAATAAAGAATACTAATTTTATAGTAGAAAAATTTGGCAGATATCATCTCAACAAAGTGATCAAAGCTAATATCACCAAATGGAACTGAAACCCTAACTTATACCACTCACAAAAATTAACTCAAAATGGATTAAAGACGTAAGTGTAAGACCTGAAACCTAAAAGAAAACATGGGGAAAAAGCTCTTTGACATTGGCCTTGGCAATGATTTTTTTTGGATATGACACCAAAAGCACAGGTGACAATAGCAAAAATAAACGTGTGGGATATATCAAACTAAAAAACTTCTGCATAGCAAATAAAATAGTCAGCAGAGTAAAAAAGGCAACCTATGGAATGGGAGAAAATGTTTGCAGACCATTTATCTGATAAGGGGTTAATATCCAAAATATATAAAGAATTCATACAATTCAGCAGCAAAAAACCTCCAAGTAATCCAATTTAAAAATGGGCAAAGGATCTGAACGGACATTTTGCCAAAGAAGAGGTACATGTGGCCTATTGGCACAGGAAAAGGTGCTCAACATCACTAAACATCAAGGAAATGCAAATCAAAACCACAATGAGATATCATCTCACACTTGTTAGAATGACTTTTATCTAAAGGAAGGATAAGCAGGGTTGGTGAGGATGTGGAGAAAAGGAAACCTTGTATATCATAAGTTGGAAGTAAATTGGTACATCTATTATGGAAAACAAAATGGAGTTTCCACAAAAAATTAAAAATGAAAATACCATATGATCTAGCAATCCCACTTCTGGGTGTATATTCCAGGCAAATAAAATCGGTATTTTGAAGAGTTATCTACACTCCCATGTTCATTGCAGCACTATTTACAATAGCTGAGATATGGGAACATCCTAAGTGTCTTGTTGAGTAATGAATGGATAAAGAAGATGCATTCTATATATGCAACGAAATATCATTCAGCCATGAGAAAGAAATAGATCCTACCATTTGCAACAACATGAATATGCCTGGAGGGCATTACATTAAATAAAGAGTCAGACAGAGAAAGACATATATTGTATAATCTCACTTGTATATGGAATAATAAAAAAGTAGAACTCATAGAAACAGATTAAAATAGTGGTTACCAGGAGCTAATTGGTGAGGCTAATGAGATGATGGTTAAATGATACAAGTCTTCCGTTATAAGATGAATAAATTCTGGAGATCTAGCTAACATACAGCATGGTGACCATAATTATTAATATTGTATTGTATACTTGAAATTTGCTAAGAGCATTGTCTCTCTCTCACTCTCTCTCTTTCTTTCTCTCTCTCTCTTTCACACACACACACACACACACACACACACACACACACACACACACGGTAACTATGTGAGGTTATGGATGTGTTAACCTGAAAGTGGTAATGATTATATAATGTATAAATATATAAAATCATGATTAATATACTTTAAATATACATCAATATACTTTAATATACTTGAATATACATCAATAATGCTGGGGAAAAAAGAAAAAAAATTAAGCAAATATTACCAATATTGGAACAAACCAACATCATGTGCTTCATAATACGATGCACTGTGAAAGACACAACTCCATTCTGTGGTATTCTTGCCAAAATGTATAACCCGAATCTCATCATGAAGAAACATCAAACTAAACTGAAGAACATTGTATCAAATAACTGTCCAAAACTACAAAAAATGTCAAAGTCAAAAAAGACAAAGAAACCTGAGGAGTTTTTTCAGTTTAGAAAGGAGACAAAGAGATATGACAACCAAATATGGTGTATGATCCTGGATTAGATGATTGACCAGCGGGGAAAAAGCTATAAAGGACTTTGGCATAATTGACAAAATTTGAATATAGACTATGGATTAGATACTAATATCAATCAGTGTTAGCTTCCTAATTTTATACATATTGTGATTTTGATAAATATATTGTGGTTATAGAAGTGAATATCCTTTTTCTTAGTGAAGATCAGGATATTGCTCCCACTCTCTGCAAATATGTCACTTTGGCATAAGAATCGTTTTGTGCTGAAGGCATTTGAGTTCCTGAGACCCCTTGTCTATCTAAAAGCAAGCCTCTCAAAAGAACTCAATTGTCATATAAATTCCCTCCCTGAAAGCAACTGTAATCTCTTCTTGGAGATGAGAAGTTGGCACTACAACTGAATATACTTTGTCATAAACTAGCACATCTCCTATCGGTCTTCCTAAGTGCCATTCATTTTTCCAAAAAGTCATTTGCTTTTCCATAAGTGCTCTTTTTCCAACTCTGTTTTCTTTTCTAAGTTAGGCATATAGACCCCAGAATCTAACCAGCCTTTCGAGTTACTCATCTCTGAGTGCTGCCATGTGTATGTGTGATGCCCACGTGAATAAACCACTGCTTGTGTTTCTCTTGTTAATCTGTCTTTCGTTAGGTCTAATTTGCAGGGCCCTAGTTGGAGAACCTAAAATAAGTAGGAAAAAAATTTATTTTTCCTTTCTCGACATTAGGAAATACATACTGAAGTAGATAGGGATTAATGGGCATGATGTCTCAAACTTATTGTCAAAGATTTTTGAAAAAATATGAAGGGGGAGAAGAGAGAAAGAGAGAGAGAGAGAGAATGGGGGTAAAATGTAATTCACAACTGGTAAATTAGGGTTAAGGGTATGTGGTAGTTCCTTGTATGATTCTTAAAACTTTCTGTAAATTTGAAATTATATTTTAAAAATTTATGAAAATAGTAGGAAATAAATAAATATTAAAGACTTTAGGAATTCTAACACATTAAATAAATTAAGGTAAAGGGATGGAAAAAGATATCTCATGAAAATGGAAACAAACCAAAAAAAGCTGGGATAGTAATACTTACACCAGACAAAATAGACTTTAAAACAAAGGTTATAACAAGAGACAAAGAAGGACACAGTAATCCCACTTCACAGTTGTGACCATTCACAGTTTGATATTTCTGTCCTTCAGAAATACCAAACTGTGAATGGTCACAACTGTGAAGTGAGGAAAGCCCTACCTAAGCAAGAGATGGTCAGTGCTTCATCCAGCCAGAGAGGTCGGAGTGGTTCTGGAAACTTTGGTGGTGGTCGTGGAGGTGGGTTTGGTGGGAATGACAACTTTGGTCATGGAGGAAACTTCAGTGGTTGAAGTGGCTTTGGTGGCAGCCATGGTGCTGGAGAATATGGTGCCAGTGGGGATGGCTATAATGGATTTGGTAATGATGGAAGCAGTTTTGGAGGTTGTGGAAGCTACAATGATTTGGGTAATTACAATAATCAATCTTCAAATTTTGGACCCATGAAAGAAGGAAAGTGGAGGCCGGAGCCCCTATGATGGTGGAGGCCAACACTTTGCCAAACCACGAAACCAAGGTGACTGTGGCAGTTCCAGCAGCAGCAGTAGCTATGGCAGTGTCAGGAGGCTTTAAATACTGCCAGGAGACAAAGCTTAGCAGGAGAGGAGAGCCAGAGTAGTGATGGGGAAGCTTACAGGTTACAACAGATTTGTGAACTCAGCCAAGCACAGTGGTGGCAGGGCCCAGCTGCTACAAAGAAGATATGTTTTAGATAATACTCATGTGTACATGGCCAAAAGACTCAAGGACTGTATTTGTGACTAACCGTTTAACAGGTTATTTTAGTTTCTGTTCTGTGGAAAGTGTAAAGCATTCCAACAAAAGGCTTTAATGTAGATTTCTTTTTTGTACCCATGCTGGTGATTGCTAAATTTAATAGTCTGATCACTATGCTGAATAAATATGTATTAAAAAAAGAGTACAAATTGGTAGTTAGAAAATAGTCATGAGGATATAAAGTATAGAATAAGGAATATAGTCAATAATATTGTAATAACTATGTATGATGTCAGGTGGGTACTAGATTTATCGAGGTGATCACTTCATAAGTTATATAAATGTCTCATTATTATGTTGTGCACCTGAAACTAATGTAATATAGTATGCCAACTGTAATTGAAAAAGAAAAACTTATTTAAAAATATAAAAAAGGTAAATTAAGGTAAGCCTCATTTTTGACAGAAAGCAACATTGAAAGATTAATAAAATGCTGCACCTTTAGGAGTAAAAAAACATCAAGCTGTTAATAGGCCTTATGAGAATGACATCAGATCATGAATGTAATGTCTATACTGTAGTACCTGGCTTAGAGGAAGTCTGTAGTAAAGAGCTTTATTGTTGCTGTTGTTATTAGTGCCATAATCTTCAAAGGCAGTGATTCTCTGAGCTTCAGTGCCCTCATTAATAAAACAAGGATATAATATCCTACCTCACAGGGTTTTGAGAGTTAATTAAAATACTGTAAATTAAGCATTCAGTCTCCTGCCTATTTTCTTATAAGATGGTAGATTCTGTTATTCAGTGAACTGAGTCCATATGCAATCTCCCCATAGCACAGAGGCCTTTCTCTAACAATCTCATCCATCATCTGGGCAGTATTTATGGATTTCATTTGCTTCATTTTATCCCTCTGAGGAGAGAGCATGAGGGCTGCTAGTGAAGGACTAGGAGAACCTAATTATTTTAGGTTTTATTTTGTCTGGTCATTGAGTTTGTCCTCTTAGCCCTCAAAGAGGTGACCTAAATGTGATACGATCAAACCGAAGTGGATCAATGCTTCTTTTTGGAATTCTTGTGACATTTCCCGTGGCTGGGGCCAGCTTGGCTACTTAACAGTAGTTTGTGCTTGTGGTTCACCTAGTGAGAGAACTGGCTTGTAAATAATTGATGTCATTTCAAGTATCCCTTAGAATCACGGACATTCATTTAACTTATAGCCAACAGGTGAATGTGTAACGGCTACTCTAAAAATCTGTTATTTTTGAGGATGGCCCAGCTTATTTTCTCTCTTGATATAAATATTTGAAGCAAACAGTGGTTATCTGATGAAGTAAGATTTTAAAAAGGCTTTTGCCACAAGCTTGTAGACATCTTTCAGTTGTTTTTAGTATGAATTTCACTGGACCTCTTTTTGAAGAGATGTTGTCAAATCTTATTTCCCCTCAGTGCTGGGAGAGTTCCTCCTTGAAGAGGTCAGTGGGAGATGCAGGAACAACATCAGCTACTAGAGGAGAGTATTCTGCACCAACTGGGCCAAAAAGGCTGGCACCTTAAACTCCAAACTTTTGGGCAATGAGTGAACAATGTAAACAAACAGGAGGTGGGAAAACAAACTCCCATGAATAGGAGTTGCAGGTTTCTCCCCTGAGTTTAGGAACTGCCACGGTCACTTGATTGCTTGGCAGAGCCAAGCCTTGATTACCCTCTAGAATTTGTGGGACTTGGTGAAAAGTTACCTCTGTGTCTCCAGGCTATTGATTTAATTATATAAAATTAATTAATTTATTCCACATATATGTATTGCCATCTACAATGTAGTTGGCACTCTTTTAGACACTGGCGATAGCCTTGAACAAAATAAAGTCCCTGCTCCCACTGAGTTTATATTCTGGTGGGGTAGGGGAAAGAGATAAACAAACGAGCAAGTAGCTACATATCAAGTGGTGTTAAGTGCTATAGGAAAAATTAAGCAAGATAAGAAATTAGACTTCAATAGGTGGCACGGGGTTGATAATTTGAATAGGATGGTCAGGAAGGAACATGATAGAGAAGGCCTGAAAGAAGGACCAGGACAAACTGTAGGTATCTGATGAAATAGTTATCTAGAGCGAGAACTGTAAGTTCAAAGGCGTTGAGGTAGGAGCATGCTCGATATATAATATACAGCTGTGCAGCTGATATTTAAAAAAAGCTGGTTTGCAAAAAGCTGCACAAGTGTAGATTGGAATAAAACAGATGCCCTGAAGTCCAATAGCCTTCTCCCAGAATTTTCTGGTTCTAGTTAAGAACATGGGCTATGGTGTAAGACATCTTGATTTGAGTGCTGGTTTTGCAACATACTAGTAAGTACTAGCACAGACTTTCCTGGCCAAGTTATTTAACCTCTGAATGGCAGTTTCTTACGATTACTGTGAAAATTAAATAAGACTAATGCAAATAAAGCACTTCGCATTGCACCTGACATATAGAAAGAACACAATAGGAAACTATATTAACTGTACTTGCGACAGTTAACACAGTTGCTGCTATAAACATAGAGCTAGAGTATTAAAAGAAATAGAGACAGATAGAAATGGAAGATGAACTCAATTTAATGAGTAATGAAGGTGAATTTTAAAAAGCCAGAAATAGCTGAAAATCTCATATGCGAAAACAAAACACAACAAAACAACTTCATTATATAAAGTTTGGAAACATGTACCAAAAAGTAAAAGTATACTTATAGTGCCCAATTCTTAAGAAGATCTTGGTGAAAATCTGGACAACATTGGAAATATTTAAAGTGCTATTTGGATGGGGAAAATAGGGTGTTCAAGGGTGGGCACCAGGTGCCATATTGGAGTTTGCATTCTTCACCAGCAGGGGTTGGTGCAGTCTGTTCAAGAGGTCATTAGAGGATATTCTAGAATATCTATATAGGAGCAGTTTAGGAAATGGGTAAAGTGCAAGAAGAGGTTAAGAAATGGACTTTTTTTTGAAAAGAAACACTATGTTTATTTGAGATAATTGGAGATCAAAGTGATAATGGGGATTAAGAGGGAAACTGAAGCCATCTTTTTGTTTGAACAGTAAGCCTCAGTCTATATTAAGAACTCAGACTTCCTTTTACATGCTCAAACCACAAGTCATTACTGTAGAGAAGACTGCCATGTTGGAGTGACATAGGGTAAACCATACCTGCCTTAAGTTGCATTAGGCCTTGAGGAATTCTGTTAACAGAAAGGATATACCCATCTTTTGTTGTGACTTCATACTCCTCACAGGGATAGCCTTGATGTTGGATGATTTCGCTCTATGGAAAAAGTACAATTTCTTTTGAGTTAACTTGTGTATGGTTATATCCTCAATAATCCCGAAGTAACAAGTAGATGCCTTGATGGTAGAAGACATAGATAAGAAATTCCTTGTTTTTCTCTAATCATATTATCTTAGAAAAATTAGCCACCTCTCTACAGTCCTCATCTTCTTTATCTTTAATGTGAAGACTAGATTAAAACGATGATTCTCCAAGTGTGACCCTGGACCAAAAACGTCTGCATCACTTCGATGCTTGTTAGAAATACAAATGATCAGTTTCCACCAAACCTACTGAATCATGAACTTGGAGGATGAGGCCTAGCAATTTGTGTTTTAAGAAGCTCCTTAGGCAATTCTGATGCACTCTAATGTTTGAGAACCACCGGGCCAGGACACTGATTCCAAAACTTGGGTGTGCATCAAAATCATCTGGGGCATTTAGACATACAGGTTCCTTCCTGGGCTCACTTTGAGTTAGGGATCAGGTAATTCTAAGGTAGCCAATGTCATGCCTATCTTATGAGAACCCCTGGGGCATGCATTCCTTGTTACTTTTCAGCTTTAAAACTTAAAGACTTAAGGGCAGTAGTTCTTAATACCTTTATATGGCAAGGATCCCTTAGTGAATTGGAGAGATTTCCTGTTTCTTGTTGCCTATATACGGATCCACTCCTATTCTATACAGTTGTTACATGTAGAAACTCTATTTCATTTAATTTATACCAACAATCACATATATTTTCTGTTTTACTTTGCCTCTCCATGCATAACTGCTCAATGCTAGAATCCAATTCAATACATATTAGTTTTAGGGCTCCTGAAGCCCCAACAGCATGTAGTGCTGGGTGTATCTAGTGAGCGAGGCCCAGGGAGACTGGCTCTGCCTACAGCTGAAGAGATTCCCTCCACCCAATAACCCAGAAGAATTCGTGTGGGATCTTCTTAGGGACAGAGGATGGCTCCTAGGGATCTATGCCAACATGTTGTTTGGACAAACCATCAAAAGACAGTCACTTTTTGGAATGATCAAAAGAAACCTGATATTTGGCATCATGTAGATTTAAAATATTTCTATGGCCTGTCAGAGTTTTAGAATCCATTCAAAGAAGGCTTCTGTAAAAAGGATCTTAAAATCTGTATAAGGGCATGTTAAGTCTATGATAAATCTATGGATCGTGAATACTACAATAATCTTACTCAACTGGAGGTTGTCTCTATTTCTCATCTGGGAGAGTTTATTGCATAGTGGTTGCAATTATGTGTTCAGATAGGCCTGCTTATAAATTGTAGCTCTACCGCCAACCAGTGGTGTTGCCCAATTTAAGTTGCTTAACCTCTTTAATCTTAGTTCCTTGATTTGAAAAATGAGGACTGTCATATTTACTGTATAGAGTGGTGAAAATAAAATGAAATGAGTGTCTCTGAAGCTTTCATCACAATGTCTGCTATTGGATAAGTGTTACTACATAGTGGACATTATTAACTCACTAAGAATTTGAAAGTAAGCCAAAAAAAACTTCTCTGAGATATACCTAAACAGTTATCACATCATTTATGAATTTCACTCACAGGAGGCCCTCTCTACCATTCATTAGGGTCCTTTTACTGACAGTCAACAGAGTTAACAGTCCAAAATAAGATAACCAGAATAGATTAGAATGATTCAGGATGCTGCTAGAAGTGGGTACCCTAATAGTAAGAAGTGAGGGTTAACACCTTTCTAATATGGGAGAAAGTAGAAAAAGAATAAAAAGCACAGACAACATGGAAATAATCAAGGATTTAGGTTTGGCCCAAGACACTGCAATGATTTTTTTGCTCATAAAATTAAACAAAGAATTTAAGAAAAAGTTAAATTGCATTTGAAACCCAAAGGGATTAAATCATTAGCCCAGTTTATTGAATTTGTTCGAAGAGAACCCAGTCTACGCACAACGAGTTTAGCAGTTTAGCACTTTCCAGTACAATATGCTAATTTATGACTATACTCTACCAGCAAAAATCACTACCATATATAAATATAATAAATAATGTAGATAATACACAGATGCAAACATTAACATGTAAGGCACTTCATCTCCCCCAAAACATTATGGAAAATTCCAACTTACAATATTCATGAATGCTTCTGGGTCCACATTTTTAGTTGGCATAAGTCCTGAATTCAAATTTCTTCGGAAAAAACACGCCACCAGAATCAGAAGCCACATCTCAGTTCTGTGTGGAACAATCCACAATCTTGACAAGATTTTTAACATGGTTCAACATCTTCATTCATGCTTTCCTGGCGAAATAACAGCTAGTTCTAAAGTCAGAAGGATCTATAGGTTTAAAAGCTTATACATTTTCCAGCTGTAATTTCTTCCTTAAATTCTGAAGCAAATTAAACAAGCTTGGTTGATAGGAATGAAAGAACACAAAGTAGAATGGAGATATTGTCTAGGATGTCCCAGTACGATCCAGCTCCTCCCATTCCCTCACACGACTTGCAGTCACCAATCCTTTAACTTGTAGGTGTGTAAAACTTTCTTTGATGCAACCTGGAGTTATGTGCATGTGAGACAATCCATAGAACCTTATGGATTCTTATCAGGTAATAGGAGCCATTGGGAAAATCTTTTCCTTTTTTCTTAGTTGTTATCTTTCTTTGATAGGTAGGATGGTATGGAGGCTGCAGAAAATACTACAAGTTTCTATAGTTACATTCTAAAGTTTCAATGATCACTGTCCTTTGGTTGAAGATCAATATAGTGATAATTATTTTTATTTAAAATTTCAAAAATTTTTGGTGCATTTTCTATTATTAGTGATGGCTTGAGAATATTGATTAGAAGAAAATGAATCTTCCACGTTGAAGCCATTTCAATCCAGCTCAACTAAATAGTCATGTATGAAATGTTTTATTTTGTATTCTAATCACTAATTAATTACTGAGAGATTAATTAAATTGTTTTCAATAACTAAACTGAGTTGCAGCCTGTTTATTTTTATAAATTAAATGTCTTAGTTCAATAGACTGTGTGGCAATGTGAGCAATTTCTTAGCCTACTAATATTCAAGCAGGCCAGGAGGATAGAATTATTATCATTTTAAGTAAAAAATGTGTTAGTTTTTAAGAAAAAAAATATTAAAGTAAAAGATTTTTTTACTTTTACATCAACTCTTCGGAACTGAACTAACAGCAGCCACACTAATTTATAGACTTTCGAAATGTTGTTGATGAAACAGTCAAAGCTGGATCAGGAATGATGAGTCTGTGAGAAAGTATCTGCTCAATCTCAGCCTCGCCCACTCTGGCTTGGCTGTACCTATGAGGAAGCAAGCCTGCATTTCTTATCTGGACTAATTTCAACATTTCCACCATTGTTGGTCTGACGAATGCTAAGGAGGAGTGATTTGACCTAATTTAGAAGGAAAGAGGGAGCATTTGTCTAACACTGCATTGCCCCATGTCCTCAGTACCCACTGAATACACTCTGAAATTATGCAAAATGAAACTTTAGAAAAGAACTTTGAAGCCTACTGTTGACATTTTAGGATTTTAAAATGTTGCATAGCCAGAAGGAAAGGAAATCTTATTCAGCTCTTTCATTTTTAGAAATGTGAAGACACGTTGAACAACTGGCCCAGCATTACCTAGGTAGGGAGTAGCAAGGCCAGAACTAAAATTCAGGTTTTTAATTAATTGTTTAGTTTTATTACCACATGAAAAAACTGTAATGTTCCAATATTCTCTTCCCTATTCAAAGACAAAACCTCACAAAACCTATCAAAAGCAATTACATCAATCTGTGAATTGTCTCTTTAGAAGTTCCCTCTTGGATTTCAAATTCAAAATAATTCCTAATAATTTCATTATAGTTTTGAGAGATCTAACTTAGTCACATTTGTTTTAATATATTTAAGAAAGATCAACTCCCACATTGGATTGACATACTTGTGAATACTGTACAGATTATTAATGAAATAATTGATGCCAGTAAACTGATTAGTTCAGAAAGAATCTCCTATTTTTGGTAGTAGGACTACTCTTCACCCCTGCCTCCATTTTTTCAGACTTTAGAGACCGTCCCTGGGTATAAGCAGGGAGGACAGAAAATAGAAATACAGAAAAAATAGAATTCAGTTTGGCTCTCAAATTCTTGGGTAACTTTATGAGCTCACAACTCTCATTTTGGAAGCAGGAAAATGACATCTTAAGTCTCACTCAAAGATCTACAAATGTTAAATAAGGACAGTTCTTCCCTCTGTAGACTTTTAACAATGACCTTATCAACTTAGCAACCCACAACCTATGGAAAGCATCAGTAGTACTATAAAGAGACGAGGGATCCAAATGTGCCAATGTGATCTTCAATCTGGAATTGTTTATCCTGAGAGATTTTTTCCAGAAGTTTCTATCAAGAACTATATGATCTTTTTAAATTTTAAAAAATTATTTCAATGAATAAAAAGAAGGATCTGAAACATTTCAACATCTTGAAACTAAGAAAATAGGTTTTCTCTAATGTACAATGTCTTCCTTAATTAATTACATCAATTAAACATCAACATTACATAAAAGCAATAGGATAAATAGGAGAGAGGTTGAAAGAAAGAAAGCTTTCTAAGAAAAAGTGAACAGAGAATCAACATGTAACTTTACCCACAAATGTATTCTGAGTAAAAACTATAAAAATTGAAACAGAACAAACAAAACAGGACAAACAAACAAACATACAAAAACCCAGAAACGCAAGAGTTAAAAAAAAAAAAAAAGGGTAAAACAAAAAACCCCTGAAACTAGGAGAAAATTCCTCTTTTCTGTTTGAGTTGGCAGTTAAAGGGCTCTCACTGTTTTCCCCACTGTTAAACTAAATTTTATTAAAATAATTTTTTCAGGTTTTGTAAACCGAAACCTTGAGTCCAATGGGGGCTGTGTTATGAAATCTGTCTGAAAGTCCAAGTTAGTGGTCTAGACAGAATCGCTATACAATCATATGACTCTAACTTTCGTACTGATTAAACTCACGCCTTATTCCTCTCAACACGAATTATCCCACAGGAGACTCCAGGCCTTTAGGCAAATGGACTTGTGGTTTATCTGCCTCCTCATTTGTCAGATATACCTGAAAATACATGATTCTCATTTTGACATAAATCAATATCTCTCAGCTACATTAATCAACATGTGATGGTTCTTTTTAAAAAATATATGTAGAAATTTTTTATTTTAGAATAAAATTATTCTTAAAACTTAAAATAAGTTGTAGGTAAATTTAAAAAATTAGAAGTTTGGGGAAAATATTTTAAATATCATTGCAAAACAATGTACATTATTGTAATACAATGTACAGGTAACATAATATACTTATGTTTATGGTTAGGCATGAGGAAAACTACAGGATTTTTAAAAAAACAATTGCAGCTATTGAAGTTGCTGGGATTATAGAAGGTTTAATTTTTTAGGTGACTTAATTTCTGAAAACACAAATATTCATACCCTAAACTCCCCACCTTAGGAAATTCTAGAAAATTCAAGAACATATAGTACTTTTTCATTAACATGCAATGTTTCTAGCAATTTATCCATTTCTCTTAGGTTATCAATTTATTGAAATATAATTGTTCATAGTAGTTTTTTATGATCCTTTGTATTTCTGTGGTATCACATTTCATTTATGATTTTATTTTATTAAGTCATCTCTCTTTTTTTCTTTGTCTAGCTAAAGGTTTGCCAATTTTATTTATTTTTTCAAAAAACAAGTTCTCAATTTCATTGACCTTTTCTATTGAATTCATCATAATGAAGTGTTAAAATGTTATGGATTTAAATGTCTTGAAATTTTCATTTTTTGTTTCTGGGTTTTTTGAGGGTTTTTGTTTTGTTTTGTTTTTTGTTTTAGTCAGATTTCCTTTAACCCAAAGTTATAAAAATATATTCTATATTTTCACAATTTTTTTTTTCATTTAGAACTCTGGACCATTTAAATTTATTTTTCAGTATGGATAGGTATTGAATCTGGATTATTTTTTTCTAAGGAGTTATTTAATTTTGCCAGTAACATATAGTCTTTTGTGATTCCGCTATGTGAATGTCATCTTTACTCTTTCACCTTATACTACGAAATCCTGAAGACCCAGAGAGCTTACATGATTTTTCTCGAGCATGCTTCTCAACCAAGAGTGATTTTTGTCTCCCAGAGAAATTTTGGCAATGTCTGGAGACATTTTTGGTTGTCACTATTAAGGGCATGTCACCACTGGCACCTAGTGGTAGAGGCCAGGGATGCTGCTACATATCCCACATGCAAAGAATAGTACAGAATTCCCCCCAAAAGAATTTCTGACTCAAAATGTCAGTAATGCTGAGGCTGAGAAATCTTGGCCTCGAGTCGTCACAGTATATGAATATAAGTCTGAAAAACAAATCCTACCTAGAAAAAATATACAAACTGCTTTTTAAATTAATATTTCAAATTTTGGCTTTTTGTATCTGTTGATAAAGCCGTCAAAAGTTGTTTTGCATATGAGCTTGTCATCATAATTTAGTAGCTGTCTGTTTTTCAGGTGAGAAAGAATGTGACCTTTCCTCCTTGTCATTTCTATGAGATGCTGCCTATTCTTCACAAATGAAAGATTTTATTCTCACTAACTGTAGAACATATTGTTTGATCCTCTGGACAAAAAATGCATATACTAATTGTGTGTTTTTTTCAAAGCACTGACTTTAATAAGACCAGGTACAAAGTTTTCAAACTTGACTTTACCTTTCATTTTCAGGGAAATCAATTTCTCAGCTTTTAATAGATTCATTATATTTATCATCAAAGTGGTTTCCCAAAGGACGTGCCAAAAGAGAAAGAAAGAAAGAAAGAAAATTTGAAATGAACTGACAAAAATCAAATATATGTTTACAAATCATGAAGGAAGATATTTGTGATGAAAGAATTATTCCTCCCCCACCCCCACCCCCACTCCCAAAATAATCAGAGCTCTAGTTAGTTATAGTTCCTCCCTATTGCAATGTATTTTGGTGAAAAAAAAGAGAAGAGCAGAAATCAGAGTGTCTCTGAGGCCCTTCTAACCCTAGGGACTTAGTGACACCTGTATATATTCAATTTGTCATCCAGGTGATGTGAAACCTGGGTGGAGATGTGATGATGGAACAAGTGCCCATTACTCAGAAAATTAAAGCATCAAATAGCCCTGTCTCTAAAGAGCCCTGATTGAATATCAACTCGCAACTCTTTCTGAAGCCTAACTCCAGAGTTCATGTTTTCTGGAGCAGGAGTTTGGGCTAGTGATTCTAGTCATGAAAATTTGAGAATAGGATTAGGAAAAAGAGGGTCTTGGAATTTTTATAGCTGTTATAAACCAGCAGGAGAAGTATAAATGTTGAATTTAAATCTACCTAAGACTTGCAAGTCAATTTATGCAGATAAA